GTGACAACGGTGAAAACGGTGAAAACGGTGACAACAGTGACAACAGTGAAAATGGTAAGAACAGTGACAACAGTAACAACAGTGACAACAGTGACAACAGCCACAATGGTGATAACAGCGACAACGGTGACGACATTGACAACGGTGACAACAGTGAAAACAGTGCCAAGTATGGCAAGGGTGACAACGGTAACAACGGTGATAACGGTGACAACAGCGACAATGGTGACAACAGTGACAACGGTGAAAAACATGGCAATGACGAAAATAGAGACAACAGTGAAAACAGTGACAACAGTGACAACGACGACTACAGTTAAAACAGTGCGAAAGTGACATCGGTGACAACAGTGACAACTGCAACAACGGTGAGAACAGTGTAAAGAGTGAAAATAGTGACAACAGTGAAAACGGTGACAACATTGACAACGGTGACAACAATGACAACAGTGACAAAGGTGACAATAGTGACAACAGTGACAACGGTGACAACCGTGATAATGGTGACACCAGTGACAACGGTGAAGATGGTAACAACAGTGACTAGAGTAACAACTGTGACAATAGTGACAACAGTGACAACGGTCACAATGGTGAAAACAGTGACAAGGGTGAAAATGGTAACAACAGTGACAATAGTGACAACAGTGACAGCAGTGACAACGGTGACAAATGTGACAACAGTGACAACAGTGGCAACGATGACAACAGTGACAAAAGTGATAACGGTGACAACAGTGATAACTGTGACACGGTAAACGGTGACAAAAGTGACAATAGTGACAACAGTGACAACGGTGTCAACGGTGACAACGGTGATAATGGTGACAACAGTGACAACGGTGAAAATGGTAACAACAGTGACAAGAGTAACAACTGTGACAAAAGTGACAACAGTGACAACAATCACAACAGTGATAACAGTGACAACAGTGACAACAGTGACAATGGTGACAACGGTGACAACAGTGAAAGCGGTGACAACAGTGACAACAGTGACAACGGTGACAACGATGACAACAGTGACAACGGTGACCACAGTGACAACGGTGACAACGGTGACAACAATGACAAAAGCTACAATGGTGACCTCATTGACAACACTGATAACAGTGACAACAGTGACAATGGTGACAATGGTGACAACAATGACAGCTGTGACAACGGGGACAATGCTGACAACAGTGACAACAGTGACAACGGTGACAACGGTGACAACGTTGACAACAGTGACTATAGTGACAAGAGTGACAACAGTGACAACGGTAACAGCGGTGACATCGGTGACGACAGTGACAATAGTGACAAAGGTGACAACACTGACACTGGTGACAACAATGACAAAAGTGACAACGGTGACAAAAGTGACAACAGTGAAAACAGTGATAAAGGAGACAACAATGACAACAAGGATAACGGTGACAACAGTGACAACGGTAAAAACAGTGACAACGGTGACAATGGTGTCAGCGGTGACAACAGTAACAACAGTGACAACGGTGGTAACGGTGACAATGAAGACAACAGTGACAACAGTGACAACGGTGACAATGATGTGAACAGTGACAACTGTGACAACATTCACAACAGTAACAACAGTTACAACAGTGACAACAATGACAACAATGACAAAGGTGAGAACAGTGACAACGTTGAGAACAGTGACAATGGTGAAAACAGTGACAACACTGACAACGGTAAAATGGTAACAACAGTGACAACAGTGTCAACCGTAACAAGAGTGACATTAGTGACAAAAGTGACAAGAGTGACAATGGTGACATCAGTGACAACGGTGACAACGGTGACAACAGTGACAACAGTGACAACGGTGACACAGTGACAACGATGACAACAGTGACAATGGTGAAAATGGTAAGAACAGTAACAACATTGACAACAGTGACAACAGTGACAATGGTGACAACAATGACAACAGTGACAACGGTGACAACAGTGACAACGGTGACAACGGTGAAAACGGTGAAAACGGTGACAACAGTGACAACAGTGAAAATGGTAAGAACAGTGACAACAGTAACAACAGTGACAACAGTGACAACAGCCACAATGGTGATAACAGCGACAACGGTGACGACATTGACAACGGTGACAACAGTGAAAACAGTGCCAAGTATGGCAAGGGTGACAACGGTAACAACGGTGATAACGGTGACAACAGCGACAATGGTGACAACAGTGACAACGGTGAAAAACATGGCAATGACGAAAATAGAGACAACAGTGAAAACAGTGACAACAGTGACAACGACGACTACAGTTAAAACAGTGCGAAAGTGACATCGGTGACAACAGTGACAACTGCAACAACGGTGAGAACAGTGTAAAGAGTGAAAATAGTGACAACAGTGAAAACGGTGACAACATTGACAACGGTGACAACAATGACAACAGTGACAAAGGTGACAATAGTGACAACAGTGACAACGGTGTCAACGGTGACAACGGTGATAATGGTGACAACAGTGACAACGGTGAAAATGGTAACAACAGTGACAAGAGTAACAACTGTGACAAAAGTGACAACAGTGACAACAATCACAACAGTGATAACAGTGACAACAGTGACAACAGTGACAATGGTGAGAACGGTGACAACAGTGAAAGCGGTGACAACAGTGACAACAGTGACAACGGTGACAACGATGACAACAGTGACAACGGTGACCACAGTGACAACGGTGACAACGGTGACAACAATGACAAAAGCTACAATGGTGACCTCATTGACAACACTGATAACAGTGACAACAGTGACAATGGTGACAATGGTGACAACAATGACAGCTGTGACAACGGGGACAATGCTGACAACAGTGACAACAGTGACAACGGTGACAACGGTGACAACGTTGACAACAGTGACTATAGTGACAAGAGTGACAACAGTGACAACGGTAACAGCGGTGACATCGGTGACGACAGTGACAATAGTGACAAAGGTGACAACACTGACACTGGTGACAACAATGACAAAAGTGACAACGGTGACAAAAGTGACAACAGTGAAAACAGTGATAAAGGAGACAACAATGACAACAAGGATAACGGTGACAACAGTGACAACGGTAAAAACAGTGACAACGGTGACAATGGTGTCAGCGGTGACAACAGTAACAACAGTGACAACGGTGGTAACGGTGACAATGAAGACAACAGTGACAACAGTGACAACGGTGACAATGATGTGAACAGTGACAACTGTGACAACATTCACAACAGTAACAACAGTTACAACAGTGACAACAATGACAACAATGACAAAGGTGAGAACAGTGACAACGTTGAGAACAGTGACAATGGTGAAAACAGTGACAACACTGACAACGGTAAAATGGTAACAACAGTGACAACAGTGTCAACCGTAACAAGAGTGACATTAGTGACAAAAGTGACAAGAGTGACAATGGTGACATCAGTGACAACGGTGACAACGGTGACAACAGTGACAACAGTGACAACGGTGACACAGTGACAACGATGACAACAGTGACAATGGTGAAAATGGTAAGAACAGTAACAACATTGACAACAGTGACAACAGTGACAATGGTGACAACAATGACAACAGTGACAACGGTGACAACAGTGACAACGGTGAAAACGGTGAAAACGGTGACAACAGTGACAACAGTGAAAATGGTAAGAACAGTGACAACAGTAACAACAGTGACAACAGTGACAACAGCCACAATGGTGATAACAGCGACAACGGTGACGACATTGACAACGGTGACAACAGTGAAAACAGTGCCAAGTATGGCAAGGGTGACAACGGTAACAACGGTGATAACGGTGACAACAGCGACAATGGTGACAACAGTGACAACGGTGAAAAACATGGCAATGACGAAAATAGAGACAACAGTGAAAACAGTGACAACAGTGACAACGACGACTACAGTTAAAACAGTGCGAAAGTGACATCGGTGACAACAGTGACAACTGCAACAACGGTGAGAACAGTGTAAAGAGTGAAAATAGTGACAACAGTGAAAACGGTGACAACATTGACAACGGTGACAACAATGACAACAGTGACAAAGGTGACAATAGTGACAACAGTGACAACAGTAACAAAAGTGACAACGTTGACAACAGTGACAACTGTGACAACGGTGACAACAGTGACAGAAGTGAGAACAGTAACAACGGTGAGAACGGTGACAACGGTGATAATGGTGAAAACAGTGAGAACAGTGACAACAGTGGCAACGATAACAACAGTGAAGACAGTTACAATGGTGACTACACAAACAATGGTGACAACAGTCACGACTGTAAAAAAGGGTGACAAAAGTGACAACAGTGACAATGGTGACAACAGTGATAACTGTGACACGGTGAAAACGGTGACAACAGTGACAATAGTGACAACAGTGATAATGGTGACAACGGTGACAACAGTGATAATGGTGACAACAGTGACAACGGTGAAAATGGTAACAACAGTGACAAGAGTAACAACTGTGACAAAAGTGAGAACAGTGACAACGATGACAACAGTGACAACAGTGACAACAGTGACAACGATGACAACAGTGACAATGGTGAAAATGGTAAGAACAGTAACAACAGTGAGAACAGTAACAACAGTGACAACAGTGATAATGGTGACAACAATGACAACAGTGACATCGGTGACAACAGTGACAACAGTGACAACGGTGACAACGGTGACAACGGTGAAACAGTGACAACAGTGACAACGGTGAAAATGGTAACAACAGTGTCAACGGTAAGAATGGTGACAATAATGACAATAGTGACAACAGTGATAACAGTGACAACGGTGATAACAGTGACAACAGTGACAACAGTGAGAACGATGAAAACGGTGTGAACGGTGACAACTGAGTCAACAGTGACAACAGTGACAACGATGACAACAGTAATAACGGTGACAATGGTGACAAGAGTGACAACAGTGAGAACGGTGACAATGGTGTGAAAGGTGACAACAGTGACAACCATGACAACGGTGACAATGGTGACAACTGTGATAACGGTGACAATGCAGACAACAGTGACAACTGTAAGAGCACTGACAACAGTCACAACGGTGACAATGGTAACAACAGTGACAATGGTAACAATGGTGACAAGGGTGACAACAGTGACAACAGTGACCATGGTCACAACAGTTACAAGAGTATGAACAGTGAGAGCCGTGATAAAAGTGTTAACAGTGACAATAGTGACAATAGTGACAACGGTGACAAAATAATAAAAGTGACAACAGTGACCAAGGTGAATATGGTGACAATAGCGACAACAGTGACAATGTTGACAACAGTGAGAATGGTGTCAACAGTTTCAACGATGACAATGATGACAACAGTGACAACAGTGACAACAGTGAGAACGGTGACAATAGTGACAAGGGTGACAACAATGACAACAGTGACAACTGTGACAACAGTGACAACAATGACAACGGTGACAACAGTGACAACGATCACAACACTGACAACACCCGTACGAAACTGTACAGGGCCACAAAATCGCTTCAAAATGGCTGTACAGCTAAATTACAGCTGTTCAGCAGCCTTTTAGAAGGCAAACAGCAGCTTCATTCAAGTTGCAGCGGGATGCAAAAGCGCTGTGCAGCCTTTGAAGGCTCTTTGAAGCTCTTGGCAGCGGTTTTGCAGCGCAGTTACCGACTTTCAAACGCTGCGAAGTAGCTGCAGTAACGCGCCAATTCAGCTGCGGTCGATCAGATCATCTGACTTTCTTGAGCGCCAATAACATGAATCGCCAGATAAAGCCTTGGCACAGATTACGGCCTTTATAACGCGAAAACTTTGACTGTACCTCTAAGAAATGTGAGTAAGTTTGTGCGCAAAGAAGATCACTTATTGAATAAACCTCCGAATCCTATGCTTTCGGAATAAAGATTTCAATACATTTCATTCCGTGACCGGCGAGTGTGGGAATGTTATCGCTAATTCCCTGGAGACATTCTAGGCCGTAATCTTATTGGTCGGCCTTTTGAATGAGATCCCATTACATCTCAAGACAAACACGGGATCGCCGAAACATTTGCGACCGTTGAATGAAAGGCGCAAACATTCTAAGTTTTTTTGCACCTAGTTCTTTTTCGAGATGGAAGTTCTGTTGAAGTTTTTGGATGGAACAGCTCAAACGTATTTGCAAACAACGCACTGAACAGTGACTTCTACGCTAAGTATCGACGAATCGAACCAGAACAAGCAACACAGATACAAGAATCTTAGATGGGCTTCGCACTTACAAGATTCTTATACGCTCATGGTAATGTTTATTCGTTCCTTAGTCCATTGTAAAATTTAACGACGACCAAAGTAAAATTGGGTTGATTTCTTTCATGAAAAAAGTGTAGAAGATCGTGGATCATGGACAAAACGTCAAGGTGAGCAATGTCCAGCTTAGCCCGTTGCAACGAATCAAAATATCATTTCCTGCTGTCCGTGTAAACTTTATGTAGAACAATCGCTGTTATTCTCTTTATTTTTAAAAAAGATAATTTTCAATGTCTGCATGTTAATGGCTGTTCTTACATTCAGATGAGTGACCTTGATTGCTAAATAGCGAGACTGTTGCAGATTTGTTCTATGTCACGTGCTTTTGTAGCGTGTACGCGTGGATAGTAATAAAGTATAAGTTGCATTTTGACTTTCTAGTGGTTTTTACTCCGCTACTAAGGCCTTGTCAACTCCTCTACCATGTATCATGATTATTGTATTATTGGAGACTGCATTTCTTTTTTTTGTACTAACGAGTGGTAGGCCATTACCGATAACAACATTCTTTGTCTTTTCGAAGCCACTTTGCAGCCACTTTGCAGCGCAGATCGTGATTCGGGAATTTTCTGCACCGCTGCAAAAGCGCTGTTTATCGCTGTCAAAGGGCTTTCCACTGCAGCCAAAATTTGCGGCTGCTGCAGCCCAGCGCTTTTACAGCTCTTTTGTAGCGCTTCTTGAAGCCATTCTGCAGCGCTGCAGCAGCACTGCTTGTTTCGTACGGGCACCATTGTCACTGTTGTTACTGTGGTCACCATTGGCACCATTCTCACCGTTGTTACTGCGACACTGGTGACAACAGTGACAACAGTTACAACGGTGACAACAATGACAACCGTGACATCGATGACAACAGTGACAACAGTGACAACGGTGACAACAGGGACAACAGTGACAACAGAGACAACAGCGACAAAAGCGATAACAGTGACAACAGTGACAACAATGACAACAGTGACAACAGTGAGAAGAGCGACAACAGGAAATACACTGCTCTCCCTGTTCTAACTGTTGTCACTGTTATCACTGTTGACACTGTTTTCACTGTTGTCACTATTGTCACTGATGTCGCTGTTGTCGATGTTGTTGCTGCTGTCGGTGTTGTAAATGTTGTCACTGTTGTTGCTGTTGTCACTGTTGTCGCCGCTGTCCCTGTTCTCATTATTGTCAGTGCTGTCGCTATTTTCGCTGTTGTTACTGTTGTCACTCTTGTCACTCATGTGTTCACTGTTGTCGCATTTGTGGCTGTTATCACACTTGTCACTTTTGTCACTGTTTTCGCTGCTTTCAATGTTTTTGCTGTTGTCTCTGTTGTCACCGAGTGTTGTCACTGCTGTCGCTGTTTTCACTCTTATCACTGTTGTTGCGGATGTCGGTTTTGTCGCTGTTGTCACTATTGTTGCTGTTGTTGGTGTTTTTGATGTTGTCGCTGTTGTCACTGTTGTCGCTGTTGTGGCTGTTATCACTGTTGTGACTGTTGTCGCTGTTATCGCTGTTGTCACTGTTATCGCTATTGTCGCTATTCTCACCGTTGTCACTGATTTCGCTGTTGTCGCTGTTTTTACTGATGTCGGTGTTGTTGCTGTCGTTACTGTTGTTACTTTTGTCGCTGTTGTCGCTGTTGTCAAGGTTGTCACTGTTGTCACTGATGTCGATGTTGTCGCTGTTGTCATTGTTGTTACTGTTGTTGCTGTTATCGCTTTAGTGACTGTTGTCGCTGTTGTCACCATTGTCGTTGTTTTCACTGTTGTCGCTGTTGTCACTTTTGTCAGTTTTGTTGCTTTTGCGACTGTTGTCGCTGGTCTCGATGTTGTCCGTGATGTGGCTGTTGTTATTGTTGTCACTGTTGTTGCTGTTATCATTGTTGTCACTGTTATCACTGTTGTCGCTGTTGTCACTGTTCTTATTGTTGTCACTGTTGTTACTGTTGTCACTGTTTTCACTTTTGTCGCTGTTGTCACTGTTGTCACTGTTTTCGCTGTTCTCACTGTTGTCACTGTTGTGGGTGTTGTCTTTGTTGTCACTCTCAGGTAAATTAAGGCATATAGCCCTTAATTTGCCGTTACTTGCTCTCTTCAAAAGTGAGGGGGTGGTCTATATCTAAGAGCTTTAGATGAAGAGACATAAAACTTTGCTAGCTAACCACATTTTTAGTTGGTGTCAATTTTAAGCTTTAAAATTATGCAAATTAGGTCACGTGACCTCAATCGGCTGAAAAAGCTTGTTCTTCAAACGGCTACACTTTTTCGTGTGTCGTCAATTATTTTACCGGTTGCATAATGTTAATGCCGTTTAATGTATCACTTCTCAGTGATTGGCCTTTTTTAGATATTTAAAATCGAAGGCGTTAAGATGGGACACAATTGCTTTGGGGGACTGGGTCTAGTTGAAAAAGCCATTTATTTTCTAAAACAGTAAAAAATTCAAAAAAGGCCAAGCACAGTTTTGTAGATGCTTGCATTACACATTGTCCTAAACCGGTCCGGTTTAATAACTCACAACAAAAAGTGTTGCCATTTTTGTTTAAAGCCTTTTTATTGTTTTCTGGCCGTGTGGAGTCACGTGACAACATTTGCATAATTGAACATGACCTAATTGACAGAAACCACACATGTATGTATCTGGCAAAGTCTCATCTTTCTACTGCTTACGTGCTCAGAGATAGACCACCCCCCATCACTTTTTTACTGAATCATTTGGGACCCATGCCTTAATTTACCTGAGCTATTGTTGCTGTTGTTGGTGTTTTTGACGTGATCACTGTTGTCACTGTCGTCAGTGTTGTTGCTGTTGTCACTGTTGTCGCTGTTGTGGCTGTTGTTGCTGTTGTCACTGTTGTCGATGTTGTTGTTGTTGTCACTGTTGTTACTTTTGTCACTGTTGTCAAAGTTGTCACTGTTGTCACTGTTGTTGCTGTTGTCACTTTTGTCGATGTTGTCGTTGTTGTCACTGTTGTTACTGTTGTCGCTGTTATCGCTGTTGTCACTGATGTCGCTGTTTTCGCTGTTGTCGCTGTTGTTGCTGTTGCGACTGTTGTCGCTGTTCTCAATGTTGTCCGTGTTGTCGCTGTTGTTATTGTTGTCGCTGTTGTCGCTATTCTCACTGTTCTCACTGTTGTCACTGTTGTCGCTGTTCTTACTGTTGTCACTAATGTCGCTGTTGTCGTTGTTGTCATTGTGGTCTCTTTTGTCACTGTTGTTACTGTTGTCACTGTTCCCACCGTTGTCACTGATGTCGCTGTTGTCACTGTTGTCAATGTTGCCGGTTTTGGTGCTGTTGTCGCTGTTGTCACTGTTGTCGGTGTTGTCGCTGTTGTGGCTGTTGTCGTTGTTGTCTGTGTTGACGCTGTTGTTACTGTTGTCGCTGTTGTCACTGTTGTCGCTGTTTTCACTGTTGTCGCTCTTTTTACTGTTGTCGCTGTTGTCGCTTTTGTCAGTTTTGTCGCTTTTGCGCCTGTTGTTGCTGGTCTCGATGTTGTCCGTGTTGTGGCTGTTGTTATTGTTGTCACTGTTGTTGCTGTTGTCATTGTTGTCACTGTTATCACTGTTGTCGCTGTTGTCACTGTTCTTATTGTTGTCACTGTTGTTACTGTTGTCACTGTTTTCCCTGTTGTCGCTGTTGTCACTGTTTTCGCTGTTCTCACTGTTGTCACTGTTGTGGGTGTTGTGGGGTTGTCTTTGTTGTCACTATTGTTGCTGTTGTTGGTGTTTTTGACGTTATCACTGTTGTCACTGTTGTCAGTGTTGTCGCTGTTGTCACTGTTGTCGCTGTTGTGGCTGTTATCACTGTTGTCACTGTTGTCGCTGTTTTCACTGTTGTCGGTGTTGTCGCTTTTGTTACTGTTGTTACTTTTGTCACTGTTGTCAAAGTTGTCACTGTTGTCACTGTTGTTGCTGTTGTCACTGTTGTCGCTGTTGTGGCTGTTGTCACTGTTGTTGCTGTTGTCACTGTTGTCGATGTTGTCGTTGTTGTCACTGTTGTTACTTTTGTCACTGTTGTCAAAGTTGTCACTCTTGTCACTGTTGTTGCTGTTGTCACTTTTGTCGATGTTGTCGTTGTTGTCACTGTTGTTACTGTTGTCGCTGTTATCGCTGTTGTCACTGTTTTCGCTGTTGTAGCTCTTTTTACTGTTGTCGCTGTTCTCGGTGTTGTCGCTGTTGTTGCTGTTGCGACTGTTGTCGCTGTTCTCGATGTTGTCCGTGTTGTCGCTGTTGTTATTGTTGTCACTGTTGTCGCTGTTGTCGCTATTCTCACTGTTGTCGCTGTTCTTACTGTTGCCACTAATGTCGCTGTTGTCACTGTTGTCACTGTTGTCGTTGTTGTCATTGTGGTCTCTTTTGTCACTGTTGTTACTGTTGTCACTGTTCCCACCGTTGTCACTGATGTCTCTGTTGTCACTGTTGTCGGTGTTGTCGCTGTTGTGGCTATTGTCTGTGTTGACGCTGTTGTGGCTGTTGTCTGTGTTGACGCTGTTGTTGCTGTTGTCGGTGTATTCGCTGTTGTTGTTGTTGTCGGTGTTGTGGCTGTTGTCGGTGTTGTCGCTGTTGTTGTTGTTGTTGTTGGTGTTGTGGCTGTTGTCGGTGTTTTTGCTGTTGTCACTCTTTTCACTGTTGTCACTGTTGTCGCTGTTGTCACTGTTGTCGCTGTTGTCGTTGTTGTCATTGTGGTCTCTTTTGTCACTGTTGTTACTGTTGTCACTGTTCCCACCGTTGTCACTGATGTCGCTGTTGTCACTGTTGTCAATGTTGCCGCTTTTGGTGCTGTTGTCGCTGTTGTCACTGTTGTCGGTGTTGTCGCTGTTGTGGCTGTTGTCTGTGTTGACGCTGTTGTTGCTGTTGTCGGTGTTGTCGCTGTTGTTGTTGTTGTCGGTGTTGTGGCTGTTGTCGGTGTTGTCGCTGTTGTTGTTGTTGTTGGTGTTGTGGCTGTTGTCTGTGTTGACGCTGTTGTTGCTGTTGTCACTCTTTTCACTGTTGTGGCGGTTGTCGCTGTAATCACTGTTGTCAATGTTGCCGCTTTTGGTGCTGTTGTCACTGTTGTCGGTGTTGTCGCTGTTGTGGCTGTTGTCGTTGTTGTCTGTGTTGACGCTGTTGTTGCTGTTGTCGGTGTTGTCGCTGTTGTTGTTGTTGTTGTTGGTGTTGTGGCTGTTGTCGGTGTTTTTGCTGTTGTCACTCTTTTCACTGTTGTCAGTGTTGTCACTGTTGTCACTGTTGTCACTGTTGTCACTGTTGTCGCTGTTGTCGTTGTTGTCATTGTGGTCTCTTTTGTCACTGTTGTTACTGTTGTCACTGTTCCCACCGTTGTCACTGATGTCGCTGTTGTCACTGTTGTCAATGTTGCCGCTTTTGGTGCTGTTGTCGCTGTTGTCACTGTTGTCGGTGTTGTCGCTGTTGTGGCTGTTGTCTGTGTTGACGCTGTTGTTGCTGTTGTCGGTGTTGTCGCTGTTGTTGTTGTTGTCGGTGTTGTGGCTGTTGTCGGTGTTGTCGCTGTTGTTGTTGTTGTTGGTGTTGTGGCTGTTGTCTGTGTTGACGCTGTTGTTGCTATTGTCACTCTTTTCACTGTTGTGGCGGTTGTCGCTGTAATCACTGTTGTCAATGTTGCCGCTTTTGGTGCTGTTGTCACTGTTGTCGGTGTTGTCGCTGTTGTGGCTGTTGTCGTTGTTGTCTGTGTTGACGCTGTTGTTGCTGTTGTCGGTGTTGTCGCTGTTGTTGTTGTTGTTGTTGGTGCTGTGGCTGTTGTCGGTGTTTTTGCTGTTGTCATTCTTTTCACTGTTGTGGCGGTTGTCGCTGTTATCACTATTGTCAGTGTTGTCACTGTTGTCATTGTTGTCACTGTTGTCCTTGTTGTTGCGGTTGCAAGGAGTGATTTACGTAGGGTGTTTCACGCGTTTTGATCAAATTATTACCAATTTCCCTTAAATATGATATTTGCAGCTAATTTACTGGAAATAATTTCGGTGTTGTCCCGGGGTGGGGCATTTGCACACTTTTTAACAACTCAGCGTAAGGTTTTTTGTATGAACCGCCCGGCTCCACCGTGGGGCATTTGCAGCTTTTCGAAAACGGAATGACACATGCCCGGGGCGGATGAGCACGCTTGGAATAGACTGGGCAATTACTCCTCGGATTTTATATTTTTACTTCATATTTGCAAGGAGCAAATTTGTGCAAATCTATGACATTTTTAATAAAGAAGTGTTTAGGTCAGGACCTGTGTAATTTAAAGAAGGAAAGTTTTTTCTGCTTTCCCAAACACGAGGATTTTTCTAGGTCGATTTTTGGAACACCTGGAGCCAGACTGGGGCCTGTTCGTTGAAGGCTGCAACGAACGTACTATAAACCAGACACTAAAGTAAAAATACCTTTCTTATTGTCGTAGTGGATGATAACAAAAACAACCGCGAGCTTAAAAAGGTTTCATTTTAATTTCTTATCACGATAGAACCGTTTTGTCAGCGTATTATTGTCATACTGATCGTACAAGACATAAAGTTTATATACCCTGCTCATACCTCGCAGAGTTTTTTTTTTCTGCCTCAGCTATTCACGCACAGATAAATTGTCGTTTCTTTTGAATTCTTCAAAGGAAACATTGATTTTTTTCCCCTCTATGTGCGAACTGATCATGATGGAAGGAAGCAGTGTCTTAGGGCCTGTTTACAGGGAGGTGGTTGGGGGACCTCAGGTAGGTAAGGTAACCCACCTGTCCATGTAATCTCTCACTTTAATTTGATCACGTGTACATGTTAGGTAGGTTGACCCGCCACATGTTACCTCACCTATCTGGGGACCCCCAACTCCATATAAACAGGCCCTTAAGCTTGGCGTTCACTAGCGCATAAGCATAAGAATAAGGCCATACGCATGCTCAGAATGACATATTTGACTCAATTCTCGACAACAGCCCTCCTCAACCCGATGATAAACTAGATGGCGGATGCTTCGTCCGCCATATTGCTTTTGATATGTTTGTATGAGGTCTGGGTCAAAGTGGCCTATGATTGGTCCACGGCCTTGTGCTTATGCTTGTGCTTATGTCGACCCCGTTTTCCCTAGTCAAAGGGCAAGTAATTCATGGCAGTCTCCATATAGACTCCCTAATATATTAGTGCAATATTGTATACCCCTATATATCCTGTGTACCCATGAATATATAGGGTATACAGGGTATACAGTATTACTATGGTAAACATGGGTACACAGGATATATAGGGGTATACACGGTATACATCATTACTAGGGTAAACATGGGTATAAAGGATACATAGGGGTATACAGGGTATACAGTATCGCTAGGGTAAACATGGGTACACAGGATATATAGTGGTATACAGGGTATACAGTATTACTAGGGTAAACACGGGTACACAGGATATATAGGGGTATACAGGGTATACAGTATTACTAGGGTAAACATGGGTACACATAAGATATATAGTGGTATACAAGGTATAAGAGATAACATATGAGGGAGTCTATATGGAGACTGCCATGAATTACTTGCCAGTCAAAGCTAAAACACAAGCATAAGCGCAAACAGAAGAAGAACGAACTTGTCCGTTTTTCTTGTACATGTCGACCCAGTTTTCGCTTGATTACACATGTGCTTGTGCTTACAGCTTATGCGCTATTGAAAACCAGGCCGTGTGGGGAAATAATGGACACAATGTGCTGGTGTTTTATCGGCTAACGTTCCACTTCCGAGGTTTCCGGAAGAGACTTTCTCGTGACCCAACGCATATACATGTATTCTAGTATAGACAGCGTGACGGAAATGTCGTCAGGCAACCTTGTGCATACCTGAACCATGTGTCACCGTGCAGGAACCACATTCATTTCGTAAGATGAGAGTTATTTTTCGTAATCACATCCGCTGGACTGTTATACTGGAGTTTTGGGCCCTCACATTTAATGTTAGGATTGACTTGATCGGAGAAAT